TTTCAACTAGATAAGGTAGTAGTTTTGCAAAAAGGGGTGTACGTTTGGCAGAATCTGTGCCTCCACGAAAATCAGAATCAGTGTTGAGGCGGAAATTTTTTGGTGAAATTGTCGGATATTGCAAAATATCAAAAGATGATTGTGATGCATTTGAGGCACACATTTTAATAAATCCTTTGTATCAAACGTAGCCCTTTTATAATCACAATTAAATATTATTCACAACATCCTGTCTTGGCCCCGAGCTGTTAAAACATATCATGATGTCATGCTTTCCAAGAATTTCTGATATCACTGGATCAAAAACAATTGTAAAGAACGTTGTTCACAATCAATTCGTACCACACGTTAACGTAACCAATAGATTTGAAGCTACTGAAATAGTTGTTTTCGCTGGCCGTGTAGGTTCGAAGCTCGCTTCATATTTCACCCCATCATGTTTCATGATCACTGACATATACATCCTCGTACCCGGACACATGAACTGATGGCGCTGGTTCCGGGAGTACGCTCGGCAACGAGCTCCGCTTAGCTAAGTGGACTTCCTGGAGATCCAGCTAAGATCCAGCATGAGATTGGCCACGCAATGGCCCCTCCGGCTTGTGTAATAGATAATCTTTACTTACACTGAATGAATTTTAGTAGTCTCCCGGGTGAATCTTTAGTAGCCTGTTATTGGCTGCCCTTTGTTATGACTACTATAAGCATTCTCCTACATGATTTGTCTTGCCTATTGCATGGCACGGATCCTGCCGGATCTGTACCCCTCTACGTCTCTTCTTTATGTTTTCTTAAACGTCTTGGCTTGGAGTGCCACGACTTGACTTTATGCTTTCTGCTGTTAATGTACAGCCTATTGTGTCGATGGGATAGAGGTGTGTCACTTCTAGTTGCATGTTCTGGTGTAACGATATCGAATCAATACTGTGCAAGACCACAGGTCTGCTATGGTCCTGCAGTGATCTGGCTGAGCCGATACCGGTTGCTGTGCGCTCCCATCTCCGCGTGTTCCAGCAATGGTTCACAGGGGCGTCCCCCCCCCCTACACACACACACTGAATGGTCCAGTTCCCCGGTGTCCAGGTAGTGCTCGCGAAGGGCTAATCCCCCCGCAACATCACCTGGGTATTAGTATCCTGGCGGCCTCCTGCAGAGCCCCGCTGTGTGGAGGGCTCCGGTTCCCAGCACTCCGACAGTGGCTCCACACGGAGACGGCCCCACCACCCAGCGCTTTAGCTCTGTACGTCCCAGCAATGTTCTCGAAGGGCTGGTCCTGCCGTTCAAAGCCCCGGCTCCTGCTGTCCGGACAAGACTCCCGCAGAACGAGTCCCGGCAACGAGAACAAGCCCCGTGAATTTTTTTGAAAAAATAGTAAGAACAAGCAAGTCCCGCGGAACAAGCGCTCTGGTTCCCAATACTCTGGCAACAATCCTGCTGACAGGGACCAGTCAGGGGTCAAGAAAGCCTACGCCTGTCTCCCTTAAAACACAAATGATGTTATCTCTCTCCTTAACCATCGCCCTGATTCGCCGTTTTACATAACGCGGACAGATAGAAGGGGGGGGGGGGGTTTAAAGCTTTCATGCTGTTAGTTTGTTAATTGACCTTATTATGGTAGGTCAAACGTCGAATTTTTCAGGAAGGTCCACTTTTCAGCTATACATCATACCGACGAGACTAGGCCATCCGGTGACACGCGTTTTGAATAGACTTGTTTCTTGTTCAATATTTAGTACAATTGTGTATTCTTGTCTGATTTGAGTATATCTGAATGATGTATAGCTCCGTCAATGTAACAGTGCGTTCCCGCCATGCATTCCATGACATCGTCGGTTGCCGTCCGCCGCCCGTGCTGAAAAGCTGGGAGCACATTTCTGGTGTCAAAACACGCGCAATAGATGTCCCATGGGCTACCGAAAAGTTCGGAGCGATTGCATAACATGCCAGAGGTGCACCCTAAGAATTGTAAGGGGGGGGGGTGGATCCGATGATTTGAATTGGGGGGGGAGGAGGATAATCTAGATGTTCAGTCCGATGCCCCGTTCACAGCCAAACACACACTACACATTTTGCTAGACAGGTACCTGCGCGAAATTAGGCATGCGCTATCTACATGTCTCGACCGAGGTACGAAAGTAGCTAGTTTTGTTCATAACTCATATAACTCACCCACAAAACTCACACAACTTACTCACCGAATGTTACATTCAATTTTACCTACACTTACCAGCTCCTTACACGATCCCTCTCGCAAAATACACATCGGGAAACGAACTCAGATGACCAGCAATGGTCAGTGCCGTAATGGCGCATTTGAGGTAAACCGCGCCTTTCTTACAATATCAAAGGTGTGTAAAACGATAATAAAGACCTATTTGCTTTTGGTGTACCATTCCTGAATTGTAACGCGTTTTGTCAGTAAAAGTACCGTAAGTTATATTCTTTAGTTATATTTCTTATTTCATTCCCACAATAAACGACATTGATGAATAAACTCAGCTCGACGGTTACATGGCGTCATGTAGGTTCTGAATGATTTGTTTATGTCGTAAACTGATCATATAAAAATTGTCAGGAAAGTTTTCAGGTCAGGAAAATTTACCGCTCTGAAGTGAGCGGTCATTTTTACGCTGAGGAGACAGCGCAGTAAGAACTAGGAGCATATTGACAACTGAACTGACCATTCAACAAGTTGGTAGCAGTGGAGTGCTTCTGCAAAAAACTGCTTCCTCAAACGAAAACGACGAAAAATGGCCAAGTAGCTGAAACGTATTTTCGTTTTTCATTGCTGTAATGCGCGCAGTTTCATTGCGATCGACGTTTTGTAAAAGAACATGCTAGATATAACTTTTAACAAAGTGTGTTTGAATCTCCTTTCATGGAAGGCAAGCATTCATATGAGTCTCCCACGCTCGTGGGCAAGTGGACGTTTTTTTTTTACCTCTGAGCCTGGCCGCCGTGTACGCTGGTTCTCCCAACATCGCACACCAATCGATCACGCAACTCCCAGACAATTGCTGTGAGCGTCTAAACATCCCGCTAATGACTATACTTATGGCTTTGGGAAGTACCATAATTATTTTTTTGCCCTCCTATCCATGTTTTCCTTGGCTCGTAATTGTAGTTGGTGAAGACAGCAATAAGTTAGTGTTATTGTCAGCTGACTACCCAGCGCCGAGTAAAATAAGTATACATACATACATACATATATATATATATGTATATATATATATATATATATATATATATATATATACGTAAAGCAGTACCTTAACGGTCCGAGCATAGCTTTCAGCAGCGTGGACCACTGATAAAACGTAGATTTACGTTTAGGAGACAATTTAGCTTAATGAAGCAAGGGGATTGGAGATTTTCAAAGGAGAGAATTCGGGCTGTGGCGCAAAGGTGGTTGAAAGCTTAACATCGTTCGGTGCTTCTCAGGGCTACATAACACCTTGCGACGCCGGATAGTGAGCAGGCTGAAATGTTTTGTACATACAGGTCAGGAAAATTTAATGTTTTTTTCTCATTTAGCGAAAACGTTTTGTACGGACAGGTCAGGAAACACACCAGAGGAGTACAATGGTGAGCATAATAATTCGTATCCATGATACTGACACATTGCCTCAAATCTTCCGTAAAACTGTTATTGATATGTCCCTTCCCTCCTCTCGCGTAGTGTGCCGCTTTAGCTAAGTTGGTTAGAGCGCCTGAATTACGGTGCACCTGGTGGTGGCGGGAGGGTTCGAGCCGCACTACGCGCTCATTATTTGGCCCTGGCGGACATGGACTGCGGCCGGTAATGCAGGTGATGACACCGCCCGTCCTGCCCTGAGCGTAGAAGAGCCCTTTAATACGTACCGTGGCACGTTAACACGCGCCCGGGTGGCCGGTTGGATACCCTTCGCAAACCAACCGATTCGCTATTCAATTGTCTACCGCTATGCAAAATTTGGCGCGGCTGCGCTGCGCTGTTCGGAACCCATCCTGGAAAAAAACCTTTGGAGGGTCAACCTGATCCATCCACCCGAGCGCACGTTAAGCTTTCACTGTAAAATTATACCGTTGATCTGGAGCTTCAGAAACGGATGGTGGTGCCAGGGCTCAAACAGATAGTGGTGCCAGGGTTCAAACGGATGGTGGTGCCAGGGTTCAAAAGGGTGATGGTGCCAGGGTTGGTGCCACAGCCACCACCTGGCGTGGGCTCTGATCCCATAAATTTACGCAATCAGAAGGTTAGGACGAAGCCAAAATTCAAATGTTTCAGTCGGCTTGTTCGTTTTAGTTTTGTATATCGTGCCGAATTAAGACCAAATGGGGACATAAACCCAACAGCCACTCGCCTGATATGCATACAGAACCGACCACACATCAGCCTCTTTCGCTAACTTCGGTTCCGGTCAGGCCTCACCACCACACCGTCGAACGAGTGGGCCGATGGGCCGGCCATCAATCACTCCACTCCGCTGGCCTGTCTGATACCGAGGGCATGCGCCTGGATCGAGGCTGTTCCGCACAGCGACCTGACGCTGCGTTACAGTCTAGGATTTTAGAATTGATGTCCCATAAATAACTTCGAGTGGAGGGCGAGAAAAGTTTTTTTTTGCTGTAAATGTACATTGGCAGCCCTGTTACAGGATGGTAGGCTGCAGGGTAATAGGGACATAGTGAAAGCCTGCTGTAATAGTCATTTCCTAACACGCCTATCTTTTCATTTTGCGGGAAGTGATTAATAAGGTGGCCTTCTGTTGATGCAGATACCCTCGACTGTTTCAGGGAGTCCCTGCCAAACGGCGGTCTTCTGTTGATGCAGATACCTTAGACTGCTGGAGGGAGTTCCTGTCCAACGGCAGTCTTCTGTTGATGCAGATGGTCTTGGCTGTTGTCGGGAGTCTTTTTCCAACGGCGGCCTCTTGTTGATGCAGATGCCCTCGCCTGTTGCAGGGAGTCCCTGTCAAACGGCGGCCCTTTGTTGATACAGATGCCCTCGCCTGTTGCAGGGAGTCCCTGCCAAACGGCAGCCTACTGTTCGCGCCGTTTCCGGCGCGGCTGTTCCGGCGAGACGTACACGGCGGCCGCTATCGCTGCGTCGTCTCCAGCAGCCTGGGCCGCGTCGTGAGCAGGACGGTCCGCCTGAGGCCAGGTCAGTGGGACCCACTCAGTCAGTGGGTCAGATCATTGTCACCAGAACGGCCCCACTCAGGTCAGGTGGGCAGACCAGCCTGACTCTGGTCAGGTCTGTGTCAGGGGCACGTTTTCCCGAGGCCAGGTCCGTGTCACCAGGATGGTCTGATTAGGAGCAGCTCGGCTCCAGGGGTGAGATATTCCTGAGGTCATGTCCGTGTCACCAGGATGGTCTGACTAGGAGCAGCTCGGCTTTAGGGGTGAGGTTTTCCTGAGGCCAGGTCTGTGTCACCAGGATGGTTTGACTAGGAGCAGCTCGGCTCCAGGGGTGAGGTTCTCCTGAGGCCAGGTCTGTGTCACCAGGATGGTCTGATTAGGAGCAGCTCGGCTTTAGGGGTGAGGTTTTCCTGAGGCCAGGTCTGTGTCACCAGGATGGTTTGACTAGGAGCAGCTCGGCTCCAGGGGTGAGGTTCTCCTGAGGCCAGGTCTGTGTCACCAGGATGGTCTGACTAGGAGCAGCTCGGCTCCAGGGGTGAGGTTCTCATGAGGCCAGGTCCGTGTCACCAGGACGGTCTGACTAGGAGCAGCTCGGCTCCAGGGGTGAGGTCCTCCTGAGGTCAGGTCTGTGTCACCAGGATGGTCTGACTAGGAGCAGCTCGGCTTTAGGGGTGAGGTTTTCCTGAGGTCAGGTCCGTGTCACCAGGATGGTCTGACTAGGAGCAGCTCGGCTCCAGGGGTGAGGTTCTCCTGAGGTCAGGTCCGTGTCACCAGGATGGTCTGATTAGGAGCAGCTCGGCTCCAGGGGTGAGGTTCTCCTGAGGTCAGGTCTGTGTCACCAGGATGGTCTGACTAGGAGCAGCTCGGCTTTAGGGGTGAGGTTTTCCTGAGGCCAGGTCTGTATCACCAGGATGGTTTGACTAGGAGCAGCTCGGCTCCAGGGGTGAGGTTCTCCTGAGGTCAGGTCCGTGTCACCAGGATGGTCTGATTAGGAGCAGCTCGGCTCCAGGGGTGAGGTCCTCCTGAGGTCAGGTCCGTGTCACCAGGATGGTCTGACTAGGAGCAGCTCGGTTCCAGGGGTGCGGTTCTCCTGAGGTCATGTCCGTGTCACCAGGACGGTCTGACTAGGAGCAGCTCGGCTCCAGGGGTGAGGTCCGCCCGAGGCCAGGTCAGCGTTCCAACTTTTAAGTCGGGTGTAATGAACGGCTTTCAAGTACGTTGCTGAAAGGTCTAATGCAAATGATTGTCTTGAATTAGGTTTGTACTGCTTTCTGTCTGCGGTACTTTCATTGATATCTTGTCATATTTTTCAATTGGATCCTGTTAAGGCGGTGTCCCACATTTGTATGGGGTTTGGAACTCAGGTAGCCATCTTGAAGGTCATTGGATGCCGTTCACAGCCCTGTCCTTCTTGAGACATAAACCCCTCTAGTTTCCTAGCTGCACACCCGCGAAGATGTGCAGACTTTTTCCTGCAGAATATTTCAAAGACGCTCTGAGGAACATATTCACTAAAAAGAGAAATTTTGTTGTTTGTAGCAGTCTTTTCCACTGAAAAGTATACGAATAGTTATAAATTACCTTATGTCACCATGACTGGTGCTTTGTTCAATATCTTAAAATGTGCACTTTTCCCTTTAAACGAACTATGCTATGCTATGTATGCTATATTCTGACCCCGTAATCAAGGCCCGTGTTGCGAATTCATTAAAATGCATCGATCTAATTAAACGCTTAAAAACTTTGTTATTAGTATATGCAGGTCTTTTATAACCTAACTTACATTCGTATGGCAACTCTTGAAATGAAATTCAATCAGATGCGATTAATAAAAGCTTCGCTCCACATTGCCAAGGACTGCAAAACACACCAGGTATTGCACTAAAAACAGGGTTTCTGTTTTCTCAAGTATCGATCTAACTATTGACAATCAAAAACAATACTTTTCAACCGAGACGGTACTCCACGTAGTTGCTGATCGCATTTTATTAATGTTGCAACATGTACTTCCTGAGCTTGCGTTCAACGATCATTCAAAATGGTTCGATGTTATTAGCTACGAAGTAATGTTTAACAAGCTCAGGCACTACATCACACATCGTTTTTAAAACTTAAGTTTGGACCTTTTGATTGGATTTATTTCTGGCATCAGAGCCCACGCGAAGCCATGTTTGTTGCATTAGCCGTGACCCCACCCTCGGATGGTTGCATTTCGGGTGTATGGATGTAGTGAGGGCACGCCACTCGGACCAGTGTTCCATCTGACCAACGTCACATGTCACGCTACCATCGGCGCCGTGACGTGTGACAGCGGCGCACAACCGCCGGCTGACAGCGATCGCGGCGCACAACCGCCGACTGACAGCGATCCGTAGCCTCTAAACGGCCGCCGTCGGACCAATGTCACACGTCACGGCACCTTCGGCGCCGTGACGTGTAACAGCGGCGCACAACCGCCGGCTGACAGCGGTCTGTAGCCTCTAAACGGCCGCCGTCGGACCAATGTCACACGTCACGGCACCATCGGCGCCGCGACGTGTGACAGCGGCGCACAACCGCCGGCTGACAGCGATCGCGGCGCACAACCGCCGACTGACAGCGATCTGTAGCCTCTAAACGGCTGCCGCCGGCCGCTGCCACACGCTGGCCGGTCATATAGACGCGAGTGACCTCTGACACAGGCGGCGGTGCAGCAGAGTGATGCAGATGGTTCTGTCGTGCCTGCATGCTGGCAGCAATACAGGCTCTGAATTGGCAGACAGACGTGTCCCATTTATCGGAAGTTGTAACGTAGTGGAACGTTGACTGCCAGTTCAAAGCGACCAGCAATGAGTTTAAACCGTCAAAGCTCGGCCTCTTTTGACGAGGGACGAAATTAAACAGAACTTGATTTTGTTTTAAAAATGGTTGTGAACTCGGGAATAATCATGAAGACTTAAGTGGAAGACCGTGTCCCATTTACCCGAAGTCGTAGGGTGCAGGGCGCTGTTTCCCAGTTCGAAGCAGACAGCAACGATCTGAAATGGCCGAACTCTGATCTCTTCAGGCAGGAGAACATAATCACTCGGCTCCTCAGTTTAGTTTTGGAAATATGTATTATAGTCTGAGAGCAGCCGTAGAAACTAGTGCCAATGAGTAAAATCACAATGTCACACAACGGCAGGATCATTAACAGCAGTCATGCCGATCAATGAGACGGCTGATCTGTGGGCATGGCGCATGGTGCTTTTCCAGCGCATGCCATGCCCCACAGGCATGCGTTTGAGTCGTGCGTCTAATCAGGGCGCGCGACACATCTGGAGAAGGCTGGAATCACCGACAAGAGTGACAATGCCAGTCTAATTTGCGATTACGTGCCGCATCTAGTGCTCACTGTCGCCTAACTCAGCTCATGTTAGGCCGATAAGATTTGCTAGATGTCTTCTGAATGCCGCGTAACGCTTTGCGTCACTTCGGACATCCATAAAGAGCATTTCCACATGTGATGAACCCCTGATACAGGGCAATTCGATGATCTTGGCCTCAAGTACTGTCTTGAAAAGCACAGCAACACCTCCGTGTCCTCTTGGGAAGCAACCTGGAGCTGATGTATCACGGCTATATATATATATATATATATATATATATATATATATATATATATATATATATATGTGTGTGTGTGTGTGTGGGTGTGGGTGTGGGTGTGGGTGTGTACAGCCATTCTTCAAAGAAATGTTTAAAATTTATAGACATGGGTCAGATATGATAGAAAAACACATGACCATTGACATGCCTTTAAATGCAAGGCATTGCTCTAAATGACACAATTCCACTGTAAAGTAAATATTTTGCCCCATGCATCATCGTGTGGTTACGCCATGGACCGATTTTTTATGACGTTAGAGCCGCTACTATACCGGCTGTGTCAAAATTGTCATTATAGCGAACGGGCTGCTTCACTTGTAATACTTCAACTCGCCGCGAGGTGGCTTATTAATTTGTGCGGGGCCTTTGTCATGGTGTTCTTGCAGTTCGTTTCCGCCCTAGCCTTTTTCATGCCTGCAGTTGTATTCTCGGCTGTTGCGCTATTCTAAAAGTGAGTGTTCCACTTTTTTAACTGAATAGCCATTTTGGAGATCTTTCAGTGCAGTTCACAGCCCCATCATTCTTGATACCTAAGTCCTAAGTTTCTGAGCTACACGCCCGAGAATATGTGCAGACTTTTTCGTGCTGTCTATTTCAAGGTTACCCAGATATCTTTGACGCCATGATAACGTCACCCAAACTCTGCTTGGGAAGTCCCTGATTGGGAAGACAGACAGACACGTTTTAAAAATGGCTAGCTTGGTTCAAAATCCCATGTAACTGTGGGCTGGTTAATTTAAGCTATTCCGGTGGTAACAATGCGCGCTGGATAGAGGGGGAGGGGGAGGGCGCACGTAACCCAACGAATAGAGGCAATGATCATCCTGCATATCCTGCCCCTCTCACGTTTTCAATGAAAAGGCTGAAGTTCCTTTGTGACGTCACTGAAGCATCAGCGTAATCAGCTGCACCCATTTGAGCACAAATCAGCTGAACTACCACCTGATGCCATTTTGTCGAGTCTGACCAAAACATCCGTTATGTAGTGTTCGAGTGGATGAACACGTGCTGCTTTTCGCCCTTTTTCAGACGGCCCCGTGTCCTAAAATGCCACAAGCGAGGCCAAGGGGAAGCAACTCCCGACATACGGACTTCGCAACTTCAGTGATCGAATAGCATCACCCTGACGGAAAGTAATCGAAGTGTTCAGCTCAGACAAGGCTGACTTCGGAACTCATACTTGCTAGGGCTACGTAGTACGATCCCGGGGTCCGTTGTCATGGTGCTTTCCGGGGTAATTTGGACCCTAGATTCAGTCCGAGTTCATCAGGCGTTTCCTACTACGACCTTCTAGAACATTGCATGCCATAACATGACTTTCTTAAGTTTGCTGTCAAAACATCCCGTACAGTGTATAAGCTCGGCAAAGGGGGAGCCGTCTGTGAGTCTTCCGCC